GTAGGAGTTATCTTTTCTCAAGTAAGCCCTGGCATTCTCCAGCAGGTGGCAGATTTAATCAGCCGGTGTCAGGTTACAATACAGTTATAGGGTACACAAATATTTTTTTTTCATAATCTTTGCTCTTTGAGCTTTTTAAGAATGTATACTTTGCCATGGTTTGGAGTTAACTCTTAGCCACGAAAAAATGTTTGAAACATGGTGTGTTTTTAAGTGTTTTTAGGTTAAGTCCCACCTTAAGAGAACTTGTACAGTCAAGGCTGTGGTCTAAGGAAAATTATGGGGAACCCAAAGGTTCCTAATCATGAAATCCTGCCTAGGTGGCCAGCACTTAAGCATAAATGAGAGAAGTAGGTTTTCCAGTCGCCCAAAGGCCAATGGCACCCGGGCGCTTCTAGAGCTCAGCCATGACAGTGGTTAAGCTTGGTTAGAATACACTAAACTAGTAAATATACCTAGAACCAGTTGCCAAAACAGTGACTGGGAGTGCACTTTCTAAATGTACATATGATATACACTACTCTCATGTAACGAACGTTTCAACTTTTCCTTTCTTCGCATTCCTTTCTTCCTGTAATACATTTCTTCCTTTTAGTTTTTTGCCATTGAAAGGAAAAAAGCGGGCACCTGCAGCAGCTATAATGATGTAAAACAACTAATTTTAATTTTAAAAAATGCTCGGTTGACTTTCAATGTGATTGGTTGGTGGTATTTTTAAAACTTTTTCTAATAGTTCAACATAACTGGTTATTCTAAACCTGCTTAAAACCTGTTTAAATCTTCCTCCAGTGGGAAATACCGCAAACCGGCCTGGACCGACAGAGTACTGTGGCATGAATCAGAGGAAAAGAAAAACACAGTTCGACTTGAGTGTTACACGTCACAGCAGGCTTACCAAACAAGTGATCACAGACCTGTTGGTGCTTCACTTCTGGTCGACCTGAATGTTAGTTTAGTTGATTGTAAATCATTACTTGCAATAAATTTCGAACGGCTTTAATTTCGGACAGAAAAAGTCTCCGAAAATAAAACATTCCGAAATTTTTAAGCGTCCGAACTATTTTCAGTATCAAATGTACAGTACTTTCTTCTTGAGGGACTTCATCACATGTACTAAAAGTTTACGGTCGTTACGCCCGAACTCAAAGTCGTTTCGCCCCATCTCAAGGTCGTTTCGCCCCAACTCAAAGTCGTTTCGCTCCGACCAAAAGTCGATTCGCCCCGACCAAAAGTTAGTTTGGCCGAAGTTTATGCATACGATTTAGAAAGCAATAAATGGTTAACAGTAATGAACAAAACAAGCACTGTTGCGAACCTTTCTCATCTTACCGGCGAGATGATCATTGAATACTATGCACGTTACGTGTAAACATCTAGCGCCGCTTATAGAACAAGTCTTGCTCGAGGTCAAATAATGTACATTTTTTGGCTGTGGGATCGGAGAAACGGGTAACCCGTTTGCTAGGGTAACCTTCTCTCCTTTAAACAGGCCCTAACAACCTTTAAACACCCATGTCGTCTTACAAAGGTGACATTTTATTCCTTTGGTAATTTGTAAATACATTTCAGACCTTTTCCAAAAAGTATTGTGGACGTTGGTGAACTGACATATACGAACTGATCCAGGACAGTGGCGAATCGACTTCATACGTTGGCGAACTGGCCGTTGGCGTACCAGTGATACGTTAGCGAAACGACCGGTTACCACATCGAAAGGTATATTGAGGAAGGAAATATAGGAAATGAAACAAATTTGCTCGCTTACTACTCCATAATTTGCGTTGATAAAACTTCGGGCGAATCGACTCTGAGTTGGGGCGTATTGACTTAGAGTCGGGACGAAACGACTTTGAGTTAAGGCGAAACGACTTGGGCCGAAACGGACTTGGGGCGAAACTACCTGTTTCCGTACTAAAGGCCAGTACACATGATAGAGCTCAGGGCAAGTTTTAAGTCACCTGTAGCCTTGTTCTCCACACCTGTAGCAAATTCGTTACTTTGTGGGTGAATTCTGTCAACAACAGGCAATTTCACCAGTAGCATCAAGGGAAAATCAAGCGCACTCAGCCGTAGCAGGCGCTCTGGGTTACGGCCCTTATGACAGGACAGGATTTGCTCGTTCTTTTTATCACTGGAAACGAAAATTTTTGTTTCTTTTAATGAATTAAATCAATGCAGATAAATTCCATTTCCAGCCTAACTAGAGTTTTGTAGAGAATATTTACTTAAGCTACGTTTCAGCAAAGTGTCCGAAATTTTTGCCTGAAATTTGTCCAGAAGGAGTTAAAAAAGTGTCCGAAAATTAAACGTCCAAAATTTTATCGTCCGAAATGTTTTGCAAGTAATATATTATTTAACATATAATAATAAAAATAATAATAAAAGCTTTATTTATACTGAAAAATAAAAACGATCAGCGAATTCAATATAAAGACGCTGGTATGAACCGGTGATCAGTACATAAAATACAATTTACTATCAATACAAGTTAAGGTAAAAAGTAACCCGGCATTTTGACGAACAACCATTATGCTGACCACTTTGACGAAGACAAAGGAAACCAAAAGTATTAGTTTTAGTAATATAAAAAAAAGTCTAAAGAGAAATGATAAAAGATGATTAGGAATGCCGGGATGAGATTCAGAAGGTCGAATTTGAAAAACTAAGGGAAGGTTACGCTTACTCGACAAATGGCGTAACCTTTGCAGGGTAATTCATCGGTGGATCATCATATTTAGTGTTTGTTTTGTATTCACGACATTTAGGACTTGCTCTCGTCCATGGAGGATCCTATCTTGTGGAAGTTGGACCTCATGAGTCTTCCGTGGTACGGAAATGAGGTTAGTGATCATCATCATTTGTCCGTTCTCCTAGTAGAGTATTGGGCGGTAGGCTCGCTGGCGCTAGACTTCCCTGTCCTCTGCAGCCCATGCTGCCTTCTTTATGTCTCCGAACACGTGTAAATCTGTGAGGTTTGCAGTCAAACGTATTTTGATCCCAGCGTCGGTGACAACAAGGGTGTTTTTCCATCAGAATCCAGTCTCTGAGAATCGACTGATGTAAACTAACGGACTGTCGTTATTTTGTAGGACGGTCTGTGTGTCTATGTTGTCAAGAATTACAAGACCTACAGCTGGGACTGGATTGGTCTATACCGGGTCAGTGCTACGTTTTTTAACGTATTCTTAATTCCTCTATTAGGTTTAGGAAGGGTAGCTCACTCAGCCTGTGGACTTGCGGAAGCAGAGTATTATAATAAAGAACATCTCAGTGCGAGTATCTTGCGAACATCTCGAGTTCATCAAAGTAATGCAACTATTCCTTTGGATCTGTTCATCGTATAGGTCGGCTTCCAACATTTGTTCGATTACGAGATGTACGAGTGGGCCGTGGGGGACGGGGACGAGTATGGCGAGAACGGCTGCGCAGTGTTGTTCGACTGTCTGCCAGAGGAGGCTGGTCATTACGTCATGTGTTATTACAGTTACAAACTGGATTGTGTTATCTCTGTGAGCGATCCTTTCGAGGTAAGATGCAATACTTGTGCCATATTATAAGTCGTCTTGAGTCATCGTGTCCAGGGAAAGATTTTAGAGACGTCTGCAGTCCCATTTTCCCTTTTGAAAAGTAGTTCGTGTTTGGTGGAAATGATTTCCTTTTTAGCAAGTTGCGTAAGGACATAAGTACAGGCTTTCTTTTATTAAATCTAAACACCATTGCCAAATCTAAACACCATTGACACTTAAATAAAGTCTTTCATTCGTTCATTCAAATCAAAAGCTAAAATTGGTGTGCCGTACTCGCGTGACGATCTCGCGCGTTTAACTCGCGCGCCTCGCGATCCCGTAGAATACACTCGCTTGAACCTTTAACTCGCGCGCCTCCCGATCCTGTAAAATACATTCGCTTGAACCTTTAACTCGCGCGCCTCGCGATCCCGTAAAATATACTCGCTTGAACCTTCATTCCATGGGTTAAGTTTTCACTTCAGGTACAGAACTGTTTTTACAGTGTAGCTTGTCTGATAAACGTTAGACTGTTTGATAACTGAGAAATGTTAGCGTTCTCACGCTTGTGAAATGAGCAATTCATTTTTCTGAATATTGGAACTTTTAACAGATTCTTCCACCGCGAGATGAGGATAAGGACCCAGTTGAAGTCCAGGTTGAGCAGCCCACAGAGGACGTGTAAACAACAACAACAATAAACAACTGACAACAATTTTATTGACGCTCGCACTCACCGCCTCTTAACCCAGGGACCCTAACGTGCACACATGAAGAAACAGAAGATACATTTTCATTATACTGACATGTCTTTTAGTTGCTCTTGTCATTTTGAGAAGTTTCGGACAACGGTAAGTAGTAGGAGTCTCAAGCCATCAATTTTCGGAAGTGTTCGTAACCACTCGGGCCATTTGCGAATATTTTCCGAAGGTACGTTTGGTCCTTGGCGTCGCTATCACAAACCGCGTCCAAAGCACTCAAAGTGGCTGCAATTAGGATAAACATCCAGGTGAATTTCATCTTTGTTTTGCTCTAGTCCCATTTAGGATGCCCCGTATGTAATCGAGAGATTTAATTTTTGCAGCGTAAATACAAAGAGCTGCAAGTAATATATTTTGCGTAGTATTTGCAAGGGATTTATAGAAACCTCAGCAGAGAGGTTTTCTACAGAAGCTCAAAGTAACGCAAGAGGCCATTGGCTTTATGTTGTAAATATTTTATTTAAAAACAGCTTGGATAGTGTTATCAGCTAGGTATTTACTCAGTTAAGGCAACCGCCAATTTAGATTGAGACAGCTGATGTTTCGAGTAAAGCAGGGGATTATCGATCGGAAATGTTTTCCTTTGCTGACTTCGACAGTCAACTCTATTAATTTTATGTTTTCTCCCAGCAGTCTTGCTGGCAGTATATTGGGGGTGCTTATTTTATCGGGGGTGGTGTTTATTTTATCGGGGTGCATGGGTCATTATCGAAAGGAACTTTGCCTTTCGACAATGGTTGTACTTGTCTTCTTGCCGATTCTTGGCAAGGATTTTGCACTTGAAACAGGCTGAATACCTCTAACAATACCGGATACTTAAACTCTTAAAACGTACAAATATGAACCTCAAAACTGTTTCTACAGATTAATCTAACATCCAAAGTCTCTTACTATCTTAATACTATCACCGAGCGACATGGAAAACAAGCCCTGCAGAAAGGATGGGGCTTTATCTCGAGATTATTCATTCCTGTGTTATAAAGTACACAGACAATTGATAAGGATAAGTATAATGCTATCAGTGTAATAGAGAGGTTTTACAATTGAGTGTCGTGAAACAAAAATGGCTAGGCCTGTGTACAAATATTCGAATATTCTTTGAGATATTCCGAAACTTCCTGGATCTTTAGAAGAGTTTCTGATACTTAGAAATATGCAGTTTCATGGTGTTTCCGGTTGTTTTGCGCTATTTATTGCCAACTGTATTCTAGTTAAGTGGTTTTCCAGAGAGTAATATTTTCCAAGTACTATAACAGCAAGAACAGGTTGTAAATTTATTTTGGGAGACATGACAAATACCGTGAAACTGAAAAAAAAAACTTTACATGCACTGTCGGACAAATTTTCCTTTCTTTCTGAGTCAAAATGATAACATTCGGTACAAGTATGTCAAGATGTTGAAACAAAAATTCGGGATTTTCAAAAATAAAAATACGGTATATTTATTAAGTTTTAGCAGTATTGTGGAATTTCTGGAAAGATGCTTGGTCGATTTGACGTGAAATTTGTGTCTAGCCCTTACTCGGGCCAATCAAAAGGAACACGGACAACACAGCGAACCAATCAAAACTCGAAGCAAGCATACCCAGCTGGTTTTTACTCCTGATTGGACAAGAAAGCGGCGGGATGTTTTTCAACCAATCACTGAGCGTAGTGATGAAAACCCAATCAAATGCAAATTACGGCACTCAATGTAAAACTACTCTTAACAAAAAAATCGATGTCAAGTTTGTGTAATAGACCATAAAGGTGAATCAAACATACTTCAGGATACTAAAACCCACTGTAAAGAATATCGATTATCCCGCTTAATGAATTACTAAGGTTTGAAATGTTCTAAATTACAAATAATTTACTGTTGAAATACATGTATAATACAAATATTGCAAAAATTAGGTAGATATTTTAACATTGCAAAATAAGGTGATATGTGTGTATAACATTTGACTCCACCATGCTAGAATTAAAAGTCTAATCAAAAAAGCAGTCAGTTGTATTTNGAGAAATGATAAAAGATGATTAGGAATGCCGGGATGAGATTCAGAAGGTCGAATTTGAAAAACTAAGGGAAGGTTACGCTTACTCGACAAATGGCGTAACCTTTGCAGGGTAATTCATCGGTGGATCATCATATTTAGTGTTTGTTTTGTATTCACGACATTTAGGACTTGCTCTCGTCCATGGAGGATCCTATCTTGTGGAAGTTGGACCTCATGAGTCTTCCGTGGTACGGAAATGAGGTTAGTGATCATCATCATTTGTCCGTTCTCCTAGTAGAGTATTGGGCGGTAGGCTCGCTGGCGCTAGACTTCCCTGTCCTCTGCAGCCCATGCTGCCTTCTTTATGTCTCCGAACACGTGTAAATCTGTGAGGTTTGCAGTCAAACGTATTTTGATCCCAGCGTCGGTGACAACAAGGGTGTTTTTCCATCAGAATCCAGTCTCTGAGAATCGACTGATGTAAACTAACGGACTGTCGTTATTTTGTAGGACGGTCTGTGTGTCTATGTTGTCAAGAATTACAAGACCTACAGCTGGGACTGGATTGGTCTATACCGGGTCAGTGCTACGTTTTTTAACGTATTCTTAATTCCTCTATTAGGTTTAGGAAGGGTAGCTCACTCAGCCTGTGGACTTGCGGAAGCAGAGTATTATAATAAAGAACATCTCAGTGCGAGTATCTTGCGAACATCTCGAGTTCATCAAAGTAATGCAACTATTCCTTTGGATCTGTTCATCGTATAGGTCGGCTTCCAACATTTGTTCGATTACGAGATGTACGAGTGGGCCGTGGGGGACGGGGACGAGTATGGCGAGAACGGCTGCGCAGTGTTGTTCGACTGTCTGCCAGAGGAGGCTGGTCATTACGTCATGTGTTATTACAGTTACAAACTGGATTGTGTTATCTCTGTGAGCGATCCTTTCGAGGTAAGATGCAATACTTGTGCCATATTATAAGTCGTCTTGAGTCATCGTGTCCAGGGAAAGATTTTAGAGACGTCTGCAGTCCCATTTTCCCTTTTGAAAAGTAGTTCGTGTTTGGTGGAAATGATTTCCTTTTTAGCAAGTTGCGTAAGGACATAAGTACAGGCTTTCTTTTATTAAATCTAAACACCATTGCCAAATCTAAACACCATTGACACTTAAATAAAGTCTTTCATTCGTTCATTCAAATCAAAAGCTAAAATTGGTGTGCCGTACTCGCGTGACGATCTCGCGCGTTTAACTCGCGCGCCTCGCGATCCCGTAGAATACACTCGCTTGAACCTTTAACTCGCGCGCCTCCCGATCCTGTAAAATACATTCGCTTGAACCTTTAACTCGCGCGCCTCGCGATCCCGTAAAATATACTCGCTTGAACCTTCATTCCATGGGTTAAGTTTTCACTTCAGGTACAGAACTGTTTTTACAGTGTAGCTTGTCTGATAAACGTTAGACTGTTTGATAACTGAGAAATGTTAGCGTTCTCACGCTTGTGAAATGAGCAATTCATTTTTCTGAATATTGGAACTTTTAACAGATTCTTCCACCGCGAGATGAGGATAAGGACCCAGTTGAAGTCCAGGTTGAGCAGCCCACAGAGGACGTGTAAACAACAACAACAATAAACAACTGACAACAATTTTATTGACGCTCGCACTCACCGCCTCTTAACCCAGGGACCCTAACGTGCACACATGAAGAAACAGAAGATACATTTTCATTATACTGACATGTCTTTTAGTTGCTCTTGTCATTTTGAGAAGTTTCGGACAACGGTAAGTAGTAGGAGTCTCAAGCCATCAATTTTCGGAAGTGTTCGTAACCACTCGGGCCATTTGCGAATATTTTCCGAAGGTACGTTTGGTCCTTGGCGTCGCTATCACAAACCGCGTCCAAAGCACTCAAAGTGGCTGCAATTAGGATAAACATCCAGGTGAATTTCATCTTTGTTTTGCTCTAGTCCCATTTAGGATGCCCCGTATGTAATCGAGAGATTTAATTTTTGCAGCGTAAATACAAAGAGCTGCAAGTAATATATTTTGCGTAGTATTTGCAAGGGATTTATAGAAACCTCAGCAGAGAGGTTTTCTACAGAAGCTCAAAGTAACGCAAGAGGCCATTGGCTTTATGTTGTAAATATTTTATTTAAAAACAGCTTGGATAGTGTTATCAGCTAGGTATTTACTCAGTTAAGGCAACCGCCAATTTAGATTGAGACAGCTGATGTTTCGAGTAAAGCAGGGGATTATCGATCGGAAATGTTTTCCTTTGCTGACTTCGACAGTCAACTCTATTAATTTTATGTTTTCTCCCAGCAGTCTTGCTGGCAGTATATTGGGGGTGCTTATTTTATCGGGGGTGGTGTTTATTTTATCGGGGTGCATGGGTCATTATCGAAAGGAACTTTGCCTTTCGACAATGGTTGTACTTGTCTTCTTGCCGATTCTTGGCAAGGATTTTGCACTTGAAACAGGCTGAATACCTCTAACAATACCGGATACTTAAACTCTTAAAACGTACAAATATGAACCTCAAAACTGTTTCTACAGATTAATCTAACATCCAAAGTCTCTTACTATCTTAATACTATCACCGAGCGACATGGAAAACAAGCCCTGCAGAAAGGATGGGGCTTTATCTCGAGATTATTCATTCCTGTGTTATAAAGTACACAGACAATTGATAAGGATAAGTATAATGCTATCAGTGTAATAGAGAGGTTTTACAATTGAGTGTCGTGAAACAAAAATGGCTAGGCCTGTGTACAAATATTCGAATATTCTTTGAGATATTCCGAAACTTCCTGGATCTTTAGAAGAGTTTCTGATACTTAGAAATATGCAGTTTCATGGTGTTTCCGGTTGTTTTGCGCTATTTATTGCCAACTGTATTCTAGTTAAGTGGTTTTCCAGAGAGTAATATTTTCCAAGTACTATAACAGCAAGAACAGGTTGTAAATTTATTTTGGGAGACATGACAAATACCGTGAAACTGAAAAAAAAAACTTTACATGCACTGTCGGACAAATTTTCCTTTCTTTCTGAGTCAAAATGATAACATTCGGTACAAGTATGTCAAGATGTTGAAACAAAAATTCGGGATTTTCAAAAATAAAAATACGGTATATTTATTAAGTTTTAGCAGTATTGTGGAATTTCTGGAAAGATGCTTGGTCGATTTGACGTGAAATTTGTGTCTAGCCCTTACTCGGGCCAATCAAAAGGAACACGGACAACACAGCGAACCAATCAAAACTCGAAGCAAGCATACCCAGCTGGTTTTTACTCCTGATTGGACAAGAAAGCGGCGGGATGTTTTTCAACCAATCACTGAGCGTAGTGATGAAAACCCAATCAAATGCAAATTACGGCACTCAATGTAAAACTACTCTTAACAAAAAAATCGATGTCAAGTTTGTGTAATAGACCATAAAGGTGAATCAAACATACTTCAGGATACTAAAACCCACTGTAAAGAATATCGATTATCCCGCTTAATGAATTACTAAGGTTTGAAATGTTCTAAATTACAAATAATTTACTGTTGAAATACATGTATAATACAAATATTGCAAAAATTAGGTAGATATTTTAACATTGCAAAATAAGGTGATATGTGTGTATAACATTTGACTCCACCATGCTAGAATTAAAAGTCTAATCAAAAAAGCAGTCAGTTGTATTTCATATTGATACCACAAGAATCTTTGTGCGAAAGGAAATAAGTTACATGTAAATACTGCGGGAGACAAATAACTCTGCTAGAGCTTTCGAGTAAGCAGACTTTTCTTCCCTCAACCTGAAGTCGTCGACATATATTAGGGAACTGAAGCAAACCACCACGACGACGGCAACGAGAACGTCACCAAACAAAAGGTTTAATGAGCAAAACAAGAGCTCTGCGCGTGCGTTACAAATATGTACATTTCTTAGCCATCCTCTGCGAAACAAGAACGACCAAGTTCTGCGTAGTCTGAGGAACGCGAACGTCATTGCTCATTGCTTGAACACGTTTTTAGAGCCATTGGCGTACTGAACAGATACAGACAATCGCGAATTTCGCCTTTAAAATATAAATTCATTTTTGACCAGGCGTCGTTCTCGGCGTCGGCGTCGGCGTCGGCGTCGGCGTCGGCGTCGGCGTCGGCGTCGGCGTCGGCGTCGGCGTCGGCGTCGGCGTCG